GCGGTGGCGCGACATTACTTTTGCCCTGAAGGGTAGGGTGTACACTGCAGCGGTACGTTCGATCCTACTGTATGGTTGCGAAACCGGGCCCCTAAGATCGGCGGACATAAAGAGGCTAGTTATGTTCGACCATCGGTGCCTTCACAGTTTGGCTCACATCTGGTTGGAACACCGCGTGAGCCACGAGCGTGTTCGCCGCCTTTTTTACCGCACAGGAAAAGGAAATAAACCGCTCAGCACCGTCATTTCACGCACCAGGCTCCGATGGCTGGGCCACGTGTTACGCATGCCAGCCCACCGACTCCCTCGACGTGCGTTGTTTGCGCGCCGGGGGTGTGGATGGAAGAAGAGGAGAGGTGGCCAAGCGATGACTTGGTCGAGAGAAATGAAGTCCCTCACTTCTGAGCTGGCCTCGGTTGGAGCTTCACTGCTCCCTGGTTTGGGTCCCGGAAGACGATGAACACGTTTGGTTGGACACACTTGCTGACATGGCAAGGAGCCGACCTCAGTGGCGTTCGTGTTGTGAGTTTCTTTTCCTTCCCCATCCCTTCTAGCTTCTCCCTCCAACCAAGATCTCATTTCGTAGCGAATATAATCTTACATTATAATTTTTCTTTTTACCTAGTAGCCGGCTAGTAGCTTTCCGGAACGATGCCTATCCGTTGCTGGTAGCTCAGCTGGCATGCAACTGTTGTATTTACTTTCTTTTTCTTTTATATATTGCGGCACAGCAGCTGAGGTGTTTCCCACCTCTAGCTAACGTGTATAATGATGATGATGATGATCTCTAGGGTACTTCATCGCATACGCCAAGTCAACTGTATTCACCGCACCTTGTTGCACGGATCAAGGTAGATTAACTGAACTGAGCTGAACGGCTTTACTGTCACGCATCCACAAGCGGCTGCATACGGGCTGGAATACAGCAAAGTTGTCCGCCATTACCCACGCCGGAATCTGTGAGACGCCAAATAACTCTGTTATCTGCCTGCAGGTTTTAATAGGTTGGTCTTGCAATGGACCAAGACCACTTCCTCTTTGCCAAACGAGTAAACGATTTGTTGGCATCGCTCACCGATATAGGGCGGGTGAAATTTGAATTCTAGTGCATTGCCTCTTCTGTTTTCCTAACTTTTCTCCTTCGCTAAGTTGTGGTCTTTTTTACTTTTTAACAACTAGCTCCACCGCACTGTCATGCAAACCATAGTTGCTGAACCGAACTGTGCTAAAATAATGCGCCAAGTGACTGGGTCTACTCTAACGCGCTGCAAACCATGTACCCCTTGGAGTTATCCGAATAGTTTGTGGACCTCCGAAGCGTGCCAATTTTCTTGCTTTCATTCCGTCACTTTCAGGGCACCCACAATGCCCGGAATCAGTGTCTTACTAAAAGTCTTAGAAGAGGCTGGGAGCGCTGATGAATACCTAATGCTGTGAAGATGGCGAAGGCATGGGTATCGGGCGCCGTCAGGTCCACGGGAGGCATCACTGAGTGAAACAATAACTGATCAAGGTGGAACGTTGTTTCATTCCAATATTTGTCGATTTGAAACTGAGTGGAACATGTCGAGGGAGATTTCAGCCAGCTGAACATGTCTTCATTGCTCGTCGAACCAGCATCGAAGATATTCGGTGCGAACTTTGCTGTTAAGGCGAAACCAAGTACCTTAGTTTTATAGCTCTCCTTCATCGGTAATGGCGATCAACTTTTGTTTAGTTCGGTCGCTTTATTAAAGTCTATGTAAACGGTTGAAGAAATGGCCTCAGGCTATTGGTTGTTAGCCATTGCTTTTGTCTTTAAACAGTGCCACTGAATTTATTGCGACAGTCCTCAAAGCATTGATCATATTTCTATTGCTTCGGAACTCCTCACAGGCCTCATACTACGTTTACTCATCGAATCAGTTAAACTCACACTAGCTCCCGCTCCGACATTGCATGCGTCGACCGCATATCTGCACTTCGTTATGTGCTTGAACAGCAACTTACACGCCTATTGCTTGTCGTGATGTTCTTCCTTGACTAAATTGTTTCTTTTGACTCAGCCTGTCTTCCCAACTTGTGACACTGCTTATCCGTTTAGAGCGTAGTAGGGACCCTCCTTTATTCTAACGCTGCTTTGGCACAACACGCGTACGGAGTAGTTTTCCCCATTAGATACGTTTTAGTTTTCCACGACAAATAAAGTACCCCAAGGTTTCATGGTCCCATTTTCACAGTTTTAGTAGAAACGATCACAACACCTCTATCCTCTCAGTCTACCCAGTGGCATCTGGACAATATCGCCTTCTTTCGCTCTTACCTGTTTTCTACACACTGGTCTCTGGACTAGCTGGTGCATAGGGCCGCATGTTTTAGGATGCGTCTCGCATCTCCAAAGTGCTAGTGCTGCCGTTGTGCTGGGTCGACGCTTCTGATTCTTTCTGTCACCGAATAACCGGTAGAAGTAATCATTTTGTTTGCTTATCTTACTAAAGGGGTTACGACGCGCCTTGGTAAGATGTATGTGACTATTAAAAGTTTCAACCTACGGAGGCGCTGAAACCCTCTCGGTCATTATTATAGCAAACAGCGCTAATTGCTTCAGGAACATGATCACTGCGCCTTCAAGATTTTAGAGGGCTGAATGTAAGTAATCTTGATAACCCCAATTGCAGTAAAGTCTTTTGCATTTGGACTACATAGGTAGACTTCGGCACGTATTTAGCAATGTTTGCCGCCTCCATTGCTGTGTGTTGTTATTAGACGGTTGGGTGGCGCCACAGCATGACAAACCTACGACGCCACAAACGGGTACGTGATAATTGGTTGCGAAACCGTCGGGCTGGTTCATGTTGTCTACATAGACAAGGATCAAGTGTTCGGACACATTAGAGATTTTTTACCCTCTTCATGGGCACAGCAGTGCTCGTTCATGCGATCTCTTATTCCTTTTTCTTTTATAAGGTAGTTTTTTGCCGTTTGTTATCATTGTTTGTGAATCTTTACCTGTTCGTCTGTTCGTGTTTGCTTATTATTGATCACTGCTTCACCTCATCTCGTGGCGGCGCGCGTCATTGTAGTCGGATCCGCTGAAGTTCATTACCCAGATCATAGTTTGTCGAGTGGACTGACCGATATGAATTGGAGAACCCCGTGATGACCATGAATACTATTTTTTTAGACGCAACAATATACTTGCAAGTGCAGCTTTGGGAATTGGGCAATGGCTTTCTAAGCGACCCCAGATAAGACGGAATCAGGCACATCAGCGATATGAGTGTAGACTTCTGTGATACCGAGGCTACCGTACATTACTCTTGGTACTACGAAAAGAGTAGCATTGTGAGTCGGGAGCAGTATGAGGCGAGTAGTTAGAGATGGACGACGCAGGCATCAGGATCGCTCTCTTCACTGGTGCACATTACTGTGTGTAATAAATTTGCTCACCAACGCTTCGGTCGATGTAGAATGAGGTCGCATTTTAGCGCTTAAACATTGTATTGGAATATGCATACTACCAAGTCGCCCGACTAGAGCTTTCCACCAAAGCTTGGCTGAAAATCCTGACTGCGGTCCGACTGAGCTATTTGCAACAGCCCACGTCACAAAATGCATGCCACTCAATCTCCAACCCGCAACATCAGAGACTGGGTTGATGAGTCCTTCTGACAGTGAATTGCCCTTGTAGGTTGCTCTTGAGACGACCAAAACTACTGCATAGCATAATCCGCTAAAGAAGATTTGCAATAGATTCACTGTTTACTCCGTTGCAGCGTTCTTGTCATATGTGCATATTACACAGTACTGTTCATACAGGGCTTCTCGATTGAGTCGCCTTCACAACATACAAAGAAACGCCGTAAGCAATATGCCAGCACGTCCTACCCACGCTTTGCCCTGCGACCACCATCACTAATAGTGCGCGAGCTAAGGATACTGCATGGTCACATGCATCTACGCAGGCCAGGTCAGTCTGAATCTACGCCAAAAGAAAATTGTCACCATTTATTCATAATTTTGTCCTTTTATGGTCTGCCTATTGATATGCGATTCCGAATTCCAGCCGGAAATCAGAAGTGAACGCTCGGAGGCAAGAGCATGTTGCAGCACCAGCTACCGACACGGAAATAAGTGCTGTGCAATCCACGAACATTTATGAGTCAACTAAGGTAGGTCCGTATATCGGAACGGCTAGATCAGCTGTCCTGATTGGCAGATCAATTCCGTTGGCCAATGGGGAGGTAGGTACGTGCGTCATGCATACGTGCACGTTCCTGACGCAAGCATTCCTGAAACGTCTTGATGTTACTGTTGCACGTAATTGATTCAAATCATTTTCCCACTGAAATAATGAGTTTTCCCATGCGATTTTGCTCTCTCTCACATGTCTTCATTGAGGACATGCTCCAAGTCCCAGCTGAATCAGAAGTCAACGCCTGGTGAAATCGCTTTAAAGGAGCAGCGACCGAAACGGGTACAAGTAGTGTGAAATTAAGAGATATTTTTAGATTAACCCAAGGATGTCCATGTTTTAGAACAACTAAGTCAGGTGTCCTGATTGGCAGTCCAGTTCCGCTAGCCATTGGGAAGTTAGGTACGTGCTTCAATCGATGGACGTGAATGTTCCTGAAACAACTTGATACTTCGGCTAAATTGTTTTTTCGCTGTAATGATGGTCCTTCTTAGTATATTTTCTTTTCTACTGAATACGTGCCTAGCAGCGAACTCATAGGATCCATTGTTTTCGTTTACGCTATCTAGTGTATTTTATCTCTCCACCCCTCTATTATGTTGGAGTTGCGGTTTTCTAGCATAGATTTCCGAAGAGCCATATGACGTTAAGTGAATTTTCTGAGCTCTTGTAAAGTAGTCCTCGTTTCCTTATGTTAGTTGGTCTATTAATACTGCCACCAACGGTTATTATTCACGTAAAGTCGGGCTCAAAAATAGTTATGATTGCGCATGCTGTCTAGTTCCCAACTATTGCGCTACTTACATTACTTCCGTTTCTTGTCTAGCTCATTCGACGCACCCGACGATATTTGCCGCATGTCGCAAGGTTGTGTCTAGTTTCGACTTTCATCGAGGACGGCTTCCGTTTGATAACACAGTGGTCTGAACAGATTCATTATATTAAGATCGTGTGGCATATACCGATACTTTTGTCAGCGTTGTTCATCGTAATCAACATAATCACACAGTTTGCGGGAAGTGGTCTGGTGCTCAGCCGTTTCCGGGTCAACATTGGCGTCGGAATTCTCATGGCCACTGTATTGCTTCAGGTAAGCTACTTTGTTTTTCATCGACTATCCAGTTTGTTCCTACTTTGTTTTTATTAGTTTGCTGCAGTTTCTTTCACAGCCACCACCGTTGTTGTTGTCATCGACACCATGCCGTAATTTAATAGTCAGCGTTATCCGTTAACTTTTCATACAGCATACTGCAGTCGCCGTAACCGCCACTCATCATCATCGCCATCATTATCATTAACAACAACAGTAGTAGGCCATTTATATTAGCGCTTTGCTACCGCACAGCGATTTATTATGATGAGCAACCATGCTGCTGGGTGATTACTATGGGGTTCAAAAAACTGTCCATTGAAGGTCTTATCCCCCGGAGAATACCTTGATGATCAAGGTGCTCACGCTTTACGATAGCCTTATAAAGATAAGGTAACATCGGCGAAGACATTTCTTTGCAGCTTTCACTATCCGTGTCATAATCAACCTTACCCTCACAATATACTCAACATCACACACACTTTATTGTGGTAGACAATAGCAATCTCACCATTCGTACCAGTTACAAGGCATATCCTTTTCTAGCTCGAGCTCAGCCCAGCTGGAGGAGCTATGCTGATGACATACTGTTAGTCATGGATTTGAATGAATACATTGCAACTGAAACCGAAGCGCTCAATAGTCTGCATTAGAATTTTTCTGTGACATGGGAAACTGAGCACACCTGTTGTCTTCCATACTTGGGTACACTGCTCGCACTACGACCAGATGATTCGATCAAAAGTCAGTCTACCAGAAAGTGACCTGGATGGGTCAATACTTATGTTTTAAGAGTTTCTCGCCGATCCATCACAAGCACTCTGGTCCAAACTTTGTTTCATCGAACTTATGATTTGACCTGCTGCAATCTAATTATTATCCATTGTATGAGGCGTTTAAATGACAAACAAGATCGAGAGTTAACAGTTTACAAGAAACCGGTTTCATTGAGTTGCCTTACAAGGATGACCACCTCAGGGATTTTAACCGGCTTCATGGTGATAAGCAACGATTATTCATGCCAGGAAAGACAATGCTAGTACGGGACTATCGGGTAGGTCACACAAATTTGACATCTGGCACCATCAGATGCAAGCGCGGGAATGTTATGTATGGAGTGATTGTGGGGACACAGACCTGGTTTCACCATATAAACCAGCTACGGCTAACTTCGTGCCAACCAGCGAAAGTAAAGCCTGCCGAGCTCCCGTTTGACTTACTGATGAAGAGCAACCTGCCAAAGGAGCCTATGGACGACGGCTGTCAGTCAAGCGATGAAACCGCACGACAGATCCCGGGATCCACTTCCTGCGCACATCAGCTGAGGTGATAGACCAACAGAGTTAGAACACTGTCCAGGATGCTACAAGTCAACTCTAACCTTTTTTCATGCACCGCATACTCTATCTCAGGAAGGGAGATGTCGGGGAGAAAGTAAGAATTTCTTGGAAAACCATTACTTCAGTGGTTTATCGTTTGAAATCTATTATCGCATCGATTTCGAACTTGCTGGAATGTCCCGACACCTGCACGTCACTGCCATTTTCCTGCAGATTGGCTGGATCAGTGTGACACTGCTAATTTTGGTATTTGACCTAGTTCTAGTAGTCCTAGGTCATGAGGCGACCTATAACTATGACCAAGGTCTACCGCCTTTGCACAGTTCCATTTTGACTGTAGTTTGCACGTTATTTTGTACAAGGTCGTTTTGACTTTTTCTTTTGGTTGGGCTTGTGGTCATGCAAAATAGGTAAGTGCATGTTTCGGAATTGCAACAAGTGAGAAGATTTAACCAATATCAACACCGGTTTAACCGGCACTCGAAGCTGCATTGTCTCTGGGCATGCGCAATGAGAAAGCACTGCTGGTGTCATCTGAAAGAGATCGCAAAGCGAGCACAGGGCTCTAGTCTTGCAGGCGGGTTTCCTATAAGCAGCAGATATCGATCGAGAGGGTCTCTAATGTTCTGGCAAGTGCTGCCTGTTGACCGATCTGTAACAATGTGCGTACGTTGAGCCATGCCAATCTGAGGGAGGATCGAGGGCTCCAAATAGAAGCCGATGAACTGGGTTTGACCGCTTGGTTGGACATGAGCTTGCAGCATTGCATGACTGACGCGCCGCGTTTGCATGTGAGTCGAAACTAGAAGATAAACGCTTATCAAAGCAAAGTTGGTTAAGGCCAAGTATTGGTGGGGGTTAAAACGGGGGGATAAACGTGGGGCTGGAACGGGACGATAAGGATGAAAAAGCGCAAAAGGGGGAATAAGAAGACCGGAAGGTTTTAGCTGTAGCATGCAAACCCCTACCCACCTTAATCGATGCAGTAGCTAGAGCGCCTTTGATTCTCCTCTGCGGTGGCCATATCGTCAAGAAATCGTGTGGAGAGAAGTTCGTAGCTGTACCGGCCTACTGCTGCTGCCTAGACTTGTTCTGGTCCCCATTCTTGCACTCGTAGTAGAGATGGTATGTCTTCTTCAATTGAGTAAATCTAGTAAATCTCACTTCTCCACAGATATAGCGAAAATCGTCCACGGTATCAGCGCTATTACGCACCCGTACGAAGTGTGTATGATAATATCATTCAATGTTACAGTCCTTCTGGTGAAACATTGAAAATGAGCTATCTGAAACATTTTCAAAACAAGCGCCAATAAATATTTATATGGTCACTCGTCTTCAGTGCACATAGTTACTACAGAGTAGGATATTTCTAAGTTAGTAGCAATATCATTACTGACCGGTATTATCTAGCTGTTTGCGACACCAAGTGAGGTAACGGTGTGGACTCAAGAAATGTCATCGCTAAAAAACTTGGGAGTGAATAAACTCTTTAGGTGACCAATTTATTAACAATGAGCTATTGCGCATAGCAGCAGAGTGCCGGTCTTATGAACCACGCCGTGATCGACACAAAGTTTATTTTTAACGGCTCCCGAACAACACTTGACAATTTTATATCGGCTCTTCATAGGCTGTTTACTGTCATATAATACATCGACCTTGTAGGGATGCTGGCCGACTCCAGTACACCTTATGCCTTGAACTTGTATACAGCACGAGCCACATATTTGTCCACGCCAAGCCGCTGCATCCAACTATATTGGTAGAAATGGGACCAGAAAGCGCCTAAGATTTATCGTGATTTTCTCCAGATTTTTGTACATGGATTGCCTTCCACTTCTCATCTTCGATTTAGATGACTATGTGCATGAACAGTGGCGATTGTGTCCGATAACCTCACGAGGGTATATGACTGGGAGTGCAGTAGAGATATCCACTTTGTGCCTTCTTGCCACAACATTGCACCCAGAAAGGCCGAATCCAAGGCAGTGGAGGTGTAGGAGCTGTTTTCTCTGAATTTTAGACCGAATCATCCACATGCTGGCATGCGCCACATTGCGCAATGTACTTACCGTAACCTTTAAATACTTGTTGTCACTCACGAAATCGGAATATCCCATGTTTTTCTCAACCTATGTCGAACTATTAAGCCGATATCCCGTGGGGTTACCCGAGCGGTAAACGCGGTTGCAAGTTCGTTTTAATCGGTATCGTATGACAGCAGAATAATAATATTACATTTTTCCCAATTTACCTTCCCGCTAATTGCGTCATTCCCGCCCACGCTGCTTATTCATCTCGTTAGCTTCAATCTCACTGAGCGTCATGTTTGTTCAAACATTTTTTCCATTTTTCACTCCAGACCATAGGCTACCATGTTTGGACCCAAGTTTTCTTCATGCGGAACTTATCCCTGATTGGTAGCCTGCTGCTTCTGCTCGCTGAAGCGAAACAAGAAGCAAAAAGCATCCTGGCTGGTCTTCCCTCATCAGGCGAGAATGCTCCGCGCCAGTATTTGCTACTGGGAGGTCGTGTGCTGATTATCCTGATGTTCGTAACCGTGATTCACTTCAGGGGGAGTTGGTTTTATCTTATACAGGTGGGTTGATACTTTGTCATGGGAAAGGTTGATGCGTAGCAAGAGCTGCGATCATGACCTTGTTCTTATTTGTTTCATTTTCCCAGTTTGCTTCACCTATATGCGTGATAAATTTTCAACACTCCGTATACGATTACGGCGTCCAACAGACATTCACTACTTTATTCCAATCAGAGGATGCGCAGAACTAGGCGCTGTTATTTGTTCACTTGGAACCTCCCGCAAGGTGCACTCAGACCCAGTACGGGCGCCTGCACTCTTATATGCGACTAAAAAACACGGCCTTTTAAGTACTTTTCATTTGAGTGTTGGGTTCAGAACGAAATCTTATATCTTGATGCTTCCGACTTTTATTCATCTGCCCGCATTATATAAGCATAGAGGTGAAGTGCTGTGTGACAAATTGACTTAAGTTCAAGCAGGGGTAGGAGATTCTCCCATCTAATTAGGGTAGTTCACTCATAGTGAGATCATTCGGGGAGGGTAATCGCAAAGTTGTTGATAACCACCGGAGTCTCATATTGACATCGGCGGTGGTCTCCATTTCGTCCGTCATATTAATATGAAAGAAAACCCCAGATGGGAGAACAGCACTTGGGTCTTCAAACGGGACCGGCGAAAGTAGACCACATTTTCATTGAACTAAGTACCAAGGCCGTGTCACGCTTACTGCGGACTGCCTACAGTTCTACTGCTCGACTCCAAGGTCGCCTTCGACCCATCCAATCGTGGTCGATTTGCGCGCCCATAGTTATGAACATCTCATAGTCATTCTGTTCGAATACCACAGGCCGCATCGGAGTCTACGCCGAGTTGTTCCACTTCTCCATTCACTTTAGCGCTTATGGTGGGTGCCATCATGGAGTGTCCTTTCATAAGGTACCCGCCATACAATTGCTTAGCTTGTGCCCTTGTGACGTCAGATTATCTGGGTTGTATGGGCATTCGACGATCCCGATACGGCGAACTCAGCACTGGACAAATTCGTCGAAATGGTTCCATTATCGGACAGTGTGTCCTCAAATTATTTGGTGATATTTCGGGTCACCACTAATTAGCGCTTTCGTCATTGATGACCAAGAACCTGATATAGTCGATAGTTGTTATACTTCGTGACAGCTGCCTTGTTACCGACGTGGTTGCCTGAATTATTACACCAGAGGCCTTTATTGGTCTATAACAGGCATACAAAGCGGACTGGCGGAGTCGTAAACGATGTGAATGCGTGATTACCGAGAGAACCATTCTCCTATACTGCTTTGCAGCCTAGACTGTCCAAGGCTCCGGACAGAATCACTTAAGCAAACCTGCATGTAAACCATTGCCTTATGGGTCAGACTGGTGAGCCTAAGGCTAGAGACGGCACATTGAAATAGCCGCATTCTTGGGATGGTTAACAAGAGAGTATTATCTACACACAAGGCACTGCCACCAGTAATCATTCCTTCCATTTCCAGGGATTCTCTTCCCGTTTTAACTAGAAAAAAGATCACCGCTTATTTTACAAGCCACATTTGTAAAGAAACCGGATCGTCTTTCAAAATTAGATCACCCATTTCTAGATTATGTCCCTTAATATCCGCACAATGTATCCGGCCGGTCAACAGATTATACTCGCTGTAAATTCACTTCCTCGGTGTTGATATGGGCTGCATTCCCGAAATACCCATATTTGATATCATCGTCCTAATTCCTCTACGCTTGCTAAACACGGATTCTTTGCTAATGTCAAATCAATAACTCGCGGCCTTTACGGTATGGATCTCGTTCTTAGTAGACGTGCGGAGACTGTCATCTAGAATAAACAGCCGCATGTATGCCATTCGGATTCGATGCTCCACTGAAGTCCTCGGGCAATATCCGGAGGCAGAATGTGCTTTTGTCATTTCAGTTTGCGCCGCACTATAACGTCGTATCCATCAAAGACGATCAGAGATTTAGGCGCCTTGGTAGTGGAAAGCCCAGTCGCTGAACTATAAGTTTGAATCCACGCTGCCAATCTTATGCCCGGCTCAAGATAGTGCGTGGTGCTTTGCAGCCTGCCTTACTTGCGTGATCATTGTCGTGTCTTCGACGGACATGAGTACAACTAACAGACCGGATGTGGCGATTGCCACGTGAGTCATTCTACCTCTAAGCGTTCTTTAGTTAGCCGCATGAATGCTGGCAGCAGCTCGCGTGCTCAGAGCATCATTGGTATTATCTTAACCCGTTTCACGGTACCTTGTAACGGGGTTGAGAGTGTGTGATTGTTTCAGCACGAATATCGTATATTCCACAAATTTTCCATTAATTCTTGTCGCTCGAAATTTGTTTCCTGTTCTGCTTTCAGTCTGCTGCCAATCTCATCCTTATTGTTCTTGTGGCAATTGGATACAAGACCAAGCTGTGCGCCACTGTGTTGGTGATCTGGCTAACCGGCATGAATTTTTACTATAATCAGTTTTGGGCCGTGCATAATGACAATCTGCTATGGGACTTCTTAAAATATGACTTCTTCCAAACTTGGTCTGTTATCGGTGGCCTCGGACTCGTTGTCGCTTACGGCCCCGGAGGGGTGAGCGTGGACGATTACAAAAAGAAGTGGTAACATTTGTCCGAATTCAGAGAATATTTTCCTTGTTAATGGTACAATCACCTTGTCGTGGTTGATTGGAGAATCCGTTGTAAAATTTGCGACTTCATCAACCGTTTCCCCCTCCATCATGGATGGAACTTGTTCTGATTTTCCTCTCATGAAGTTGCCAGTGTGTCTTATCGGCTTACAACCTGCAGCGACATGTTCTCGGTGTTTCGATTATTGCTTCTGTTTTCGCTAGACCATTTTCGTTTGAAGTCCCTGTTTGTATTATCATCGCTTCACTTCCCCTTCTTATTGTGACTTATCTTTTTGGGGCAGCCTGTTCACTTGATGTAAATCTGTTTTCTTTGACAATCTCATTTCGCACACGCACACTAGATACTTTTTGACAGGTATGAGTAGTTGCCAAGTGAATGATTGAAGCCGCGCCCCTAGTTAAGACTATCAGGATAATTATGGGGTACGTCTTTCGAAGCGGTTGCTACAACAGTCGCTTATAACAATCGGTCAGCAGTTTGATGCGAATGCATTCTTGTTAGTCTGCTCACAGGTCGGTGATTCTGCGATCCAAGTCGAGTCAATATAAGTTTTATGCACCCAAGTGGCTGCATTTTCGGCATTTTACAGTGGCTACTGCGGATGTTCTAAAACGGCATCACTACAAAACTGCAGAATTGTACAAGTGGGAAAATGGCATTAGGAGCACAAGTATCATTCGAATAAACGGTCCCGAAATTGCACCATGTTCACGGTACAGTGTCGAAACCTACTTCCTTGATTAAGAGGAGGATTTCTCAAGTTAAAAATGCCTTCCGATATCTTCGCGTTATACGCGCAGTATCTCAAAGTCCACTTTCGTGTGTATCAGTGACATTGCGACCAGTCTAACCAAACATGTTGGAAAGTACTTTGTGAAATCCGTTGTTTATATATATATATATATATATATATATATATATATATATATATATTAAACACGGCCAATAGAACAATTGGCATAGTGCCACAACATACGGAAAATACAATTAACATACGAAGATAGAGGGGGGGGAACGATGTTCATGGGAATAGTGAGTCACAACAAGTCCGCCGTTGTGCACGATTTCTTGTCATATCCAATAGCGTTTCCATCCATGTACGTTCTGGATCCTTCACACTCCAGCCAGGGAGCCGACAGCGCCCGACGTTAGCTCCTTTATGCTCCTTGCCCAAGTCATACGTTGGCCACCTTGCTTTCACTTCCAGCTGACGTCTGCGCGCGCGAAGAGGGCACGGCGAGGTAAGCGATGAGTAGGCATGCGGAGAACGTGCCCAAGCCACTGAAGTCTGCGCAGAGAAATTATACTGCTCAATGGCCGGCAAAGTCTGTCTGATCTGAAAATCCTTCGTCGAATATCTTCATTCCTAGTGTGATGTTGCAATCGTACACCAGCAATGCTACGAAGGCAGCGGTGATAAAAACAGATAGCCTCTCAACATCCTTTGCGCGAACAGGCCAAGTTTCGCAGCCATAGAGGAGACCTGCTCTCAATGTGGCATTGTAAACTTGGCCGTTCAGAGCTAGACTCAGATCACCTCGACGCCAGAGATGGCGGAGATTGGCAAAAGCAACCCGAGCTTTAGAGACGCGCAAAGAGAGCTCGTCCGTTAAACCACTAATGCGGAGGAAGCTTCCTAGATAAACGAACTTCCAATGAATGACCTAGAAGGGTAAGATCAGGAGCAGCGCGTGGCCAGTCCTTCAGGAAAACCTTGCATTACGATGGTGCGAAGGTCATTCCAAACTGGGAGACAGAAATCTCCAACATACACATAACATTTTGGGCGGCGATTTCGTCTGCCTACTCCAAATCCCAAAATCGGTCCCCCGGAAGCAGCTCGACGCAGCTGGGTTCGCAGTTCTCCAGAGCACTCCAGGATTTCGTCTATAGCGAAATTGAACAAGAAGTGGGGTGCTAGGCAACCCTGTCTTACTCCACTGGTGAAACTAAAAGTGGGCGAAAGTCAGCCGTACACCCACACCCACCTGAGGTTTGAGAGTAAATGGCTTGAACTAAGGTGACATACTTCTCGGGCACTCCCCTTCTCAGTAGACAACTCCAAAACGCAGCTCTGTCAGCTGAGTCAAACGCGGCTCATCTGTCTCAGAAGATAACGATCGTTGACTGGCCAAATGTTTGACGACGCTCGAGTATTTGGCGGAGTGTAAAGATGTGATTCATGCAGCTCCGACCTGAGCGGAACCCAGCTTGCTCTTCACGTATGCTCTGTTCGCGTACCAGGCTGAGCTCTCCTTAGAAGCAGAGCTGCGAGCATCTTGGAAGCAACACAGATGAGCCTAATCCCTCTGTGGTTGGCGCAGTCAGTTCGGGTTCCCTTTTTGAAGATGGGCACGATATCCGCTAGGCTCCAATCAGATGGGATAACTTCAGTGACCCAGATCTCTTGGAGAAGTTAACTCCTGAACAAGTGATTGGCCACCATCTTTGAAAAGAGCCAGAGGGAGTTTGTCTGTGCCAGGGGCTTTGTAGCGCTTTAAAAGGCGAAGCTCGTTTTCAACCTCAGCCTCGGATGGTGGTGAAGCGTCCACACACCAGGGAACTCACAGAGATCCAAAATAGGAACTCATTGGTGCTGCTGGCCAATTAAACTGCCGCTCAAAGTGCTCGGCCCAACGCTCGAGTCGGCGTTTTTGACAGTGGATTGCCTCGCTATTGGTTTCGCATAAAACTTCGCTTACAGTCGGCCTTTTGCTGCCAGTAGACCGGATCAGAAGGAAAAGCTTACGGAAATTCCCTGAGGTGGCCGCCTTCTCCATCCTAATGACCCGCTGCGTCCACCAGGCCTCGCGATCTTCCCGAAGAAGCTGTTTGAACTCAGCGTTAGTAGTCTTGCGTAGTGAATGGTATTTAACGCTAGCAGAAATTGCTCGACGGGCTTCGAGAAGTTGGAGGGATCGTGCAGAGATCCAGTGTTTGACAGGACTACTGCTGAAGCCACAGACCAGGGTTGCAGAGTTGTACATTGGCGCCGCGGATGTGTGTCCAGTGTGCTTCAATGTCTGCATGAGGCAGTCTTCAGCCGTGAGGCCAAGGCATCCTGAAATGCGCGAACGTTTGGAGCAGAAAGCTTAGCTACATCTAGCGTTTCTGGCGACGCTGCTGGGAGCCACCAAAACGTATCGCAACCTTGGCACACACCAGCGCGTAATCCGAAGTGTGATAGGTGCTCCAGATTGATTTACAATCCTGTAAGCTACCCAGCCAGCGATAGCTAATGGCGATGTGGTCAATTTGTGTCCACTGCTGGCCAGGTGATGGGGGCCTCCAGGTGGCGCGTTGGCGCCAGGATCTCCGAAAGCTAGTGCTCGACAAAAGGAGGCCGTGCTCGGCGCAAAGCTGAAGTAGTCGATCACCGTTGTCAATTATGCGAGTGCCATAGCCGTGTTGATCACCGAGTTCACGTTCGACAACTGCGCGTTCAAGTCCGCGGCGAGCACCACGATGTCGGTACGACACTTTTTACGGAGAAGGTCGGCCAATTGACCATAGAACTCATCTTTAACTTACTCCGGGCTGTAATGTGTGAGAGCGTACGGTGCGACAATGAATAGACCGTCTGCTGGTTTCGCACCTGGACAGTCGCACTGCAGTTTCAAGTCGGATCGCGCATAGTCGACTGTTAACTGGGATCCAGTCTAGTAGCTCGGCCTCAACACCTTTACTCATAACAATCCCGACGCCAGCATAACCAGCGGCTTCGGCGGTTGAGTCTCCAGATGGACGCAGTGTGAAAATGCCAGTGGATTTCGCCGAAGGTAAAACTAGCCGCAGCGTCGTGCTAGAGTCCTGTAAACGAGTCTCGCTGGGACAGCAGACATCAATGGCCGTAGTTTCTAGAGTGCGAGCAAGGGTTGCCTGTGATGCAATCTGCATCAGCGTCCGAACATTGAGGGTTGCTAGCTTGAATTAGGAACGGGGCGCTAGAAATGGCTTGTCAACACGACTTGGCGCATCTTCGGATCTAGGCTCCTGATCCGTATGGCGAGAACGTTCGCCCAAGTTGGCACGATGTTATTAACTCGAAAACGGAGGGGGAAGACCAAGAAAGGGGATTTAACAAACGTGGAATATAGTGACTAGACGGTGGTGCGGTTAAAGGTGGTTTGGCAGGTTCAGCCACTAGCACCTCGGCCGATGAGAGCAGATAGAGCGAAAGCGGAGACAGCGAGCGAAGAATTGTTGAGATATGGATCTATAGGTTGTGCGGGCATAGTACTACCCGGTTGCCCAGGCCGAGGAAGAGGGTTGACTTAGGGGACCCCACCCGGAGCGTTGCGTCATAAAGACCTAACCCACAAGGCAGCGGGGCGGTTGACGTATACCGCGACCGTTGGGAGCCGGCTCTCCAGGTGAACTGCTTTGGAGTAGAGGCAAATTACTCAGGGTTCCCAAAGAGTCCCAGTGAAGCAGCAAGGACTACCGAGCTCGCCGCGAAGCACGATGGCCGTTGACAGCCGGGTGGCTCATACGCCTTTATAGAAGCCGGCGGCCATCGAGGTTGTTCATCCGCCCTCCGTTAAGTACTCACTTCTGGTCACAGAAGTGAGTGGTCATTGACACTATAGCCGGTCACATTGGCTTTGACAGAGCGTCTTGCAAGCTCTTGTGGTATTTAATGATGAACCAGGTGACCAACCCAGAACCCCCCACGCTCTAGGATGCTGCCGCTGATTGTCCGAGACTGCTTATTCATCTCGCCTGCGAACAGCCGAGATTTATTCAGTTACCTTCACAAGGAAGGCGTTCCCTGATCCGCAACCTGGGGACGCGCCCGGTGGCTTACAGCTCCGCCGAACCAACCAGTAGTCAGTTCACTTCCGCAAATAAAGTAAAGGCGATGCCCCCGTGAAAAGCCAACGGTAGATTTAAAGGCCCCGCCGACTAGACCTGATGAAACCCGAAAATGAAAGTAAACCAAACAAACAAATGCTGCAGCCCAGCTTGCCTTCAAAATTATTGGGACTGGCTTGGTCATTGAGCACCGTAATTTAGAAACCCAACTTTAACTCATCATTCCAGGGACATCACTGGGTACCGAAAATTATTAGCTGTGTGAAACGGGGACCTCCTGTATAACGAATTACGCTGCATAAGTAATATTTAGTAACTTACTCCCCCTTTCATTAAACAATGGGCACGTACTCATGGAATGAAACCGATTCAATAATGTGTGATTGGATAAAAAGCAATATCTTTAAACTACCCAGTGGATGTCGATTGCAAAAGAAAATCAAATTCCAAATGCCCCGGCGTGGAACGTGTTTTATCAGTAGTTTAGAGGTGGCACTTTATAATAGTTGTGCAGCGTATA